ATCTCACTCAACGGGACACCACGGGACACCACGGGACACCTGTCGATCTCACTATCGATCTCACTATCGATGTGACTCAACGGCCAACACGGGACACCACGGGACACCTTGGGGCACCAAATCGATCTCAGTATCGATCTCACTGTCGATCTCACTATCGATCTCACTCAACGGGACACCACGGGACACCGCAAGACACCACGGGACACCAGCGGGACACCGCGGGCCACCGGCCGCCGGAGGAGAATCATTTGGTCCGGCCGCGGCCCAGCCACAGGAGGATTTCGGGGCACCAGCGGGACACCGGCGGGACGCCGCGGGCCACCGGCCGCCGGAGGGAAATCATTTGGTCCGGCCGCGGCCCAGCCACAGGAAGATTTCCTCTCGCCCGCCCACGCAGCTTCGCCTCGCCCGCACGCGCGCACGCACGGCACGCACGACACAAAACCGAAACCGAAATCGATTTCCCGGAAGGGGGGGTCTCCGTTTCACGTCGGACTCACCCCCCAACCTCCGATATATATATATATATATATATATATATATATATATGCATACAGACATACATACACACATATACATACATACATACATACATACATACATACATACCTACCTACCTACCTACCTACCTACCTACCTACCTACATACATACATACATACATACATACATACGTGCATGCATGCATGCATGCATGCATGCATGCGTGCATACATACATACATACATACATACATACATACATACATACATACATACATACATACATGCATGCATGCATGCATGCATGCATGCATGCATACATACATACATACATACATGTGTGTACACATGTGCAAACAGACATGAATACGAATACCATGTCAGACAGATGTACAGTTGCATATATGCATGTGAAAATACGCACATTAAAGATGTATGTAAGCGAATCGCTGGAGTTATCAATGGCCACCTTTTTTGCTCCCCATCCATGTGCCGATTATCCACGTACATAAGTTTGCACAAATGTGGATATACTTGTAAATACGCGGCACCCCGCAGTTGCGGATAAGAGGGGTGGGGGGGTGGGCGGGGACGTCGGCAGTCTGCGAGGCTCTGAAGAAGTGCGCCGCAGGCCCATAATCTTTCCAAGCTATACAACGAGCCCTCCGCAGGCGCCGATTTTGGATGTGTGGGTCGCGGGTTGGGTGGGGCGGGTGGGGTCACAAGTGGGTTGCCGGTTGGGTCGCAGGTGGGTCGCGAGTGGGTCGCGAGTGGGTCGCGGGTGGTTAAAGCGATATGGGTGGGTCGCGCGTTGGCTCGCAGGTGGGTCGCGGGTGGGTCGCGGGTGGGTCGCGTGAGGGTCGAGGGCCGGGTCGCGGGTGGGACGCGGGTGGGACGCGGGTGGCTCGCGGGTGGGTCGCGGGCGGGTCGCGGGATGAGTCGCGGGTTGGTCGCGGGTGGGTCGCGGGCTGGGTCGCGGGGGGGACGACGCCAAACAAACAAACAACAACAAACCAACAAACAAAAAAACAAACAAACAAACAAACAAAACCACAACAACAACAACAACAACAACAACAACCACAAGGACCCAAACAACAACACCGGCAGCAACAACAGCAACAGCAACAACAACAATCATCATGTTAAGACTGCTCGCTCCTGGATGCTCACGTGCCAATCAATGCGTATATCCCAAACCCTCGGTACCCGCTTTCGTCGTCTTCGATCGTACCCCCTTGGGGGTATACCTCTCTTACGTGTCACGTGAGTGTAATGCAGCCCTTAAAACAAGGGAAGAAAGAACGGGCGGAAGGGGGAGGGAGAAGGATGGAGCACGCGAAAGGAATTAGCAGGAGGGGGGCAAGGAGCAGAAGACAAGTGGTGGAACCAGACGGGCAGACCGGGCGGGCAGACCCACAGCGGGCAGGTCGGAAAGGCGGGCCCAGGCGACCAGGTCGAGCAATCGGGTTGCTGAAGCGTGGGTCCTGCATGAATCGCGAGGACGTCCCGAACAATAGCGCGATTCCAAAGTAAATCATGGGAAAAGCCAAAGCGAGAGCGCGATTCCTGAGCGCTGAGGGCGCATCGTCTGAATAAATTGCGAGGGGTCCCACGCGAGAGCGCGATTCGTACATAAATTAGGAGGACGTCCCGCGCGAGAGCGTGATTTGGGAATAAGTTGAGAAGACGTATCAGGCGGGAGCCGCTGTTGTTGCAAACGGGGGCAATTGCGCAGTTTGAGGAGGAAGACTCTCCTTGCTTAAAAACACCGGATGCGACCCCCAGGAAGGACACTTCAACTGAAAAACACACACGTTACCGGAGGTGGGGAATCAACAATCACAATTCTTTAGAAATGAGACTTCAACAACAGCAACAACAAAAATCAATCAATCAATCAATCAATCAATCAATCAATCAATCAATCAATTTAAGACTGTTCGCTCTTGTCTGCTCGCGTGTCATTCAATATGCATATCCCAAACCCTGGATACCTGCCCTCTTCGTCTTCGATCGTACCCCCTTTCTGGGGGGGGTATATTCATTCCCTGCCACGCGTGGTTGGTGCAGCCCTTGAAAACGAAGGGTAACAGATAACGGGGGAGAATGAGGACGAAGGGATCGGAGGAAGGGAGGGAGGGGCAAGAAGGAGGGAGGACGATGATTTGCGCTGTGGGTGGCGATTCGGCTTGCGCCAGCCATTCCAACACAGTTTCACAATAACTTTCGCCATGGGTCGCGCCATAAACTGCGCCACGTACCACCCCTTTGAAAGAACAGATCGTGGATACCCCCACGGGGGGGCGTACAGCTGCGAACTGGTGTCAGAAACAAATGTCGTGGAACCCTGAAAGGAAGCGGGATGTTGGGAGAATGGGGCGGAAGGATCGTAAGAACTGCAACCGTGTCGAGAGGAGCGCGGGCATGCATATGGGACCACGAATGGCGCGAGCGAGCAGGGGCCACGAAGGGCATTGAATCCAGGGCCACACAGGGCAGCGACGAGCCCGCTGAGGGCAGCACCGGGGCCACGAAGGGCAGCGAGGGGGTCACAAAGGGCGACAGCGGGGCCACGAAAGGCATGCTTATGGGGCCACGACGGGCGCGAACGAGCGGGGGCCGCGTAGGGCATTCGTATATGGGGCCACGAAGGGCGACAGCGGGGCCATTGAGGGCAGCAAAGGGGCCACGAAGGACAGCGAGAGGGCCACGAAGGGCGACAGCGGGGCTACGAAGGGCATGCGTGTGGTTGCGAGGAAGTCCAAAGCGAGAACGCGATTCTCCAATAAGCTGTGAGGACGTATCACGCGGGAGCCGCGATTCGGTGGTAAATTGCAAGGAAGTCCCAAGCGAGAGCGCGATTCTTCAATAAATTGTAAGGAAATATCAGGCGGGAGCCGTTGTTGGCGCGGGCCACGATGGGCGCGAACGAGCGGGGGCCCCGAAGGGCATACGAATAGGGGGCCGCAGAGGGCAGCGACGGAGCCGCTGACGGCAGAAACGGGGCCACGAAGGGCAGAGAGGGGGCCACGAAGAGCGACAGCGGGGCCACGAAAGGCATGCATATGGGGCCACGACGGGCGCGAACGAGCGGGTGCCACGAAAGGCATACATATATGGGGCCAGAAAGAGCGACAGCGGGGCCACTGAGCGCAGAAAGTTGGCCACGAAGGGCAGCGAGGGGCCACGAATGGCGACAGCGGGGCGACGAAACGCATGCGTATGGGCCCACGAAGGGCGCGAGCGAGCGGGGCCCTCGATGGGCATGTAATCCAGGGCCACAGGGCAGCGACGGGGCCGCTGAGGGCAGAAACGGGGCCACGAAGGGCAGCGAGGGGGTCACAAAGGGCGACAGCGGGGCCACGAAGGGCAAGCATATGGGGCCACGACGGGCGCGAACGAGCGGGGGCCGCGTAGGGCATTCGTATATGGGGCCACAAAGGGCGACAGCGGGGCCACTGAGGGCAGCAAAGGGGCCACGAAGGGCAGCGAGAGGGCCACGAAGGGCGACAGCGGGGCTACGAAGTGCATGCGTATGGGGCCACGACGGGCGACTGCGAGCGGGGGCCACGAAGGGCATATAATGCGGGGCCACAATGGGCAGCGACGGGGCCGCTGAGGGCAGCAACAGGGCCACGAAGGGCAGCGAGCGAAGGCGACCGCGGAACCAGCACGGGCAGCGAGGGGCATCGAAGGCGGGCGAAGGGCAGCGAGCGGCGACTGCAGTCCCTGACGGGCTGGTCGGGCGGGCAGGCCGAGACGGGCGGGTCGAGCGGGCGGGTCGTTGAAGCGTAAATTCTGCTTGAACCGCCAGGCAATACGTAGCGGGAGCGCGATTCCTGAGTGTCGAGGAGCGGCATCTGAATAAACTGCGAAACTGCGAGGAAGTATCAAGCTGGAGCCGCGATTCGGCGGTAAGTTGCGAGGAAGTCCCAAGCGAGAGCGCGATTCTTGAATAATGTGGAAGTATCAAACGGGAGCCGCGATCCGGTGGTAAATTGCAAGGAAGTCCCAAGCGAGAGCGCGATTCTTCAATAAATTGTGACGAAGTATCAGGCGGGAGCCATTGTTGTTGTAAACCGGGGGCTAACAACACAGTTTGACCCTCAAGACCTTCCCTGATAAAAAACGAGGTGCGAGCCCCGGGAAGGACACTTCAATCGAAAAAAACAAAGTGCACCGGACGGGGGGATCAACAATAATTAGTCTTCAGAAATGAGAGCTCAACAACAACGAGCAAGCAAGCAAGCAAGCAAGCAAGCAAGCAAGCAAGCAAGCAAACAAACAAACAACATCAAGAATCCGCATCGCGGAATCCCACTTCAGCCACGCACCCAGGGACAGTGAATGACCGTTCGGCCCCCTCACTCTGATAGACGTAAATAAACGTATACACAAATGACACGGTGTGCGAGACACGCACTCGCAAGGCAATTCGTACACCCTCTCGCTCCCTCCGCATCAGGCTCCCTCGCCAGCACGACGTGATCTCGACGCGGCCGGGCAGGCCCGCCTCCTTGGGCTTGGCCTCATCATCGCTGGTAATCAGCACCTGCGCTCGCCCCGACCATATCACGAAGAACTCGGTCCCGACATCGCCCTGGGAGCACGGGCGTCACAAAGATCAGGCTGGAGAAGACCCGCAAGGTCTAGAAGGCCAGAAGTCCGCAACTGCGCGAAGCGAGACATGATGCGGAGCCGAATTTGGACAGATACGTAACAATGGGATGCCATGTGACGGCGCGCTGGGCTTAGGGAGCAGCGAGGACCACGGCCCAAACCTGCGATTAACAAACTCTGGACCAAACACCTGGAGCAGACTCTAACCGATGGAACGACATCATGAGGGGGGTCTCGATTGTCAGACGAAGAGCTCCTGAAGACCGCCGTTGGGGCCTCTGGGTAGCACAGAAGTGCGCTGACTGCGTTTGCAAGTCTGAAGCTGTTGCTGGGATAGTGGCATCTAGTTGACAGGTTCTCTGCAACGCATGCTTCATTCCTTGGCCATGGCCGACACACAGGAAGACCCAGGAAGAGGAGAGGGGAGAGGAGCACGAGAAAGAGGAACGCGTTGAAGAGTGAGGAGAGACCACAATGAGGGAAGAGGAAGAAGCGTGAGCATGAAGCGTAAACACGCGGCCCCGTAAACCCCAAGTGAAGCCTAGGACTCGCAGCCCAGACCGCATTGCTCCAGGAGCCGATCCTCCTCCCCCTCCTCATCCTCCTTCTTCTCCTCCTCCTCCGTTCCTTGTCCTTATAGATAACTCCTCCCTGCCGCGCCCTGAGGCCAGTCGAAAGAGCGGGCCAGGCGTTTCGCCTGAAACGTCCTTACACTTTACGATCCTGAAGCGTGAAATGTGCAAGAGCTTCACGGATGGAGGGCGGTCCGTTTTCAAAATGTGGCTCTCGCATGAGTGCCGCGCACACTCGTCTTACAAATTTGCAAGAGCTTCTCGGATCGAGGTCGGGTCTTTTGCAAGATGTGGCTCTCGCCTCAGCGCCGCGCACATTCGTTCCAAGAAGTTGTAAGACTGTTGTTCTGGCACGATTCAGTATCGTCGAGAAGCAACGGTCAGGTTGACTCGTGGCGTTGGAGTCCTGAGAATGGTGCTGCGAATGGTGTTTTGGCATGCTTCCGGATCTTCACACGGCTATCTCCCAACGAGACAGGTTTCCCTGAGTGGAAGTGAACCCTTGTATGGGGCCTATGACGAGAGAGCTTGGAGGGAAAGTGTATCCCAACATCGTTGATGAGCCCTGGGTTTACACTGGTCGGTCTCCTCTCATTCTCCTCTTCCTCCTTTTCCTCCTCCTCCTCAGATTACGTCTCTGAGTTTAACAACGCGCATATTCGTTTTAAAAATTCGCAAGAACATTACGGAAAAAAGGCGGCTCATTTTAAAGATGCGGCTCTTGCCCAAGCGCCACGCACATGCGTTTTGAAACGTTGCCAAGAAGCTTCACGAATGGAGGGCGGCTCCGTGTCAAAATGTAGTTCTCGCATTAGCGCCGCGCGCACTCGTGTTAAAAGTTTGCAAACGCTGCACGGATGGAGGGCGTTTCCACTTCAAATGGTTTTCGCCTTAGCGCCGCGTACAGTCGTCTTAAAAATATGTCCCACAAATAATGTTTGGGTACGATGTCGGAATGTCGGGCCGCAATAGTCGCATTGTTTCGCGACGTTGAAGTCTCAGGAATGGTGTTCTGGCACGATTCCGGATCGCCAGGACGCAACAGTAACGCTAATTCACGGCGGTGAGGCCATAGAAATGGCGTTCTGGCACAATTCCAGATGTTCAAACGGTTGTCTTCCAACGGGGCATCTCCCTCAGCAAAAATGAATCCGTGTAGGAGCCTATGAGAAGGGAACTTGGAGGGAGGGTTCATTGCAATATCGTTGATGCGTCCCGGGTTCACACTTGTCCTCCTCCTCCTCCTCCTCCTCCTCCTCCTCCTCCTCCTCCTCCTCCGCCTCCTCCTCGTCTTGCTTCCCTCATGCAGTGACCACCCGCTTGGCTTGCCAAGCATTGCACGCCGCCTGGTGGTCCCTGCGTCCATCCGTATGTTTGCCTCCCGGCTCTCTGAGCAGCGGTTCGTAAAGCGGCTTGTCTCTGGGACGCGTCGGCCACCGCAGCCCTCTTCCCTGTCGGTGGCCCTGGCGAAGTTGGGGGAGAAGGTGCCGAAACGCGAGGGAGGCATTGGGCTAAACCCCGAACCCCTACCCTTGAGGGAGGTTCTGAGCGGGCTCCAGAAGAAACCCCTTGCCAAAACCGTTCCCGGGGAAAAAAACATGACTCCCCAAAGACATCCCCCTTAGGGTTGGGGGCGTTCCGATGGAACCAAAAATGGACGACGGTTTGGGGAACCAAGAAAAAACCTGGACGACGAATTTGGGACGGGGTCCAAGGGAAAAACCTCCCTAAACTTTTCCAAAAGCCCTTCAAGGGGGTTCTGGGGGGAATAAACACGCTAATCCCACCAAAAAAAAAACCTTGAGGAGGGTTTTGGGAGAGTCCGGAGGAAAAACCTCCCTGACCTTCCCCCAAACAAAAACCTTGAGGGATCAAAACCCTCTCCAGGGAAATCCCTCGCCGCCCCAAGAACCCCCCTTGAGGAAGGTGTTGGGGGAGCTCGGGAGGAAAAACCCGTAACTCCCTCAGAAACCCCCCTTGAGGAGGGCATTGGAACGTCATAGGGAGAACAAAAAAACACCCCTCCCAAAAACCCTTTGATAGACAGCTTTAAACGGCTTAAAAGAAAACCACCCTAACCCCCCAAAAAAACCCCTTGAGGGTGGTGTTGGTGAAGTTCCGAAGGAGAAAAACCAAACCCCCGAAGAACACATTCCTTGTGGGCGGTTTGGGGAAAATTCGAGGGGAAAAACATTGGGATTAGGGAGCTCCGGAGTAAAACCATTTTTACCCTCCCCGAAAACTTCATTCGAGGAGGGTTTTGAAGGAGTTCTGGGGAGGGAAAATCTCCCTACCCTGGGCTCCAGGGGAAAAGCCCCTCCAAGCACACGCAAAAGCTCCTTTGATAGCGGGCTTTAGGCGAAAAATCCTTGAGGAAGGTTTTGAAGGGGGCCTGAAGGAAAATACACGAGACCCCCAAAAAACCTCCCTGGATGAGGGTTTTGGGAGGTGTCCCAAGGAAAAATCTCCCAAACTTCCCCAAAAAACGTCTGGGGTGAAGCGGCGTTGTTTGTTGTTCGAACAGGGTTTGGGAACTGCCACCCCCTACTGAAACGATCGACCGACCGAGCGACTGGCCGACCGGCGGACGAGCCGAAAGAGGCGCACCACCAAAGGACGCGGGGCGCGCGCGCCCTCCTCGGGCGAACATCGACCCCGAACAGGAGGACGGACCACAGGCGGGCGCACGCGGCAGCGCATTGACGTCCTCGCCGTCGTGAACAAACACGCGTTATGTCCTCCCCCGGCGAAGCGGCTGCACCGTCGCGGAGCGCAACGCCAGGACACGCTTAGGCGAATACCCACCTAGCGTAGCGCATGGGTAGTGAACAAGCACACACACACATACACACACACACACACACTCTCTCTCTCTCTCTCTCACACATTATGTATTTCCCTTCTTTTTTTTTCTCTCTCTCTCTCTCTCTCTCTCTCTCTCTCTCTCTCTCTCTCTCTTTCTCGCATACACACACTCACTTTGTGGTGGTCGCGCCCTGGGGAGCAGTGACGAGGCGGAGAAAGCAAGCCGGAGCAAACTCGCAACGCGCGCGGCTGGCCCCCTCGGAAGACGAGGCAGGGATCCACAACAGATCAACCATGCCATGCGCATACCCGGGCATGGGCAGCGACGGTGAGGAGCAGCCGGCAGTGACCAGGAGGTGGTAGTGGAGGCGCAGTCCAACCAATCACACACGCACACACACACTGTCACACACTACCCACGTTGTCCGTGCCAGCCCAGTGCCGGGCCAAAGGGGAGGGACCAGGTGCCCACCGCCAGGTGTCTCCAGCAGGCGCCCCACCGGCAAAGCCCTGGCAGCAAGGAGAGAAGGCTCGCCAAGGCGCGGGGCAGAGGAGACAAGACATCCCGGCGTCGTGGCAAGAGTAGCCAGCCTCGAACTTATCCCTACCCTCAAGATCGGCAAGCCCAAGGCGATGACAATCTTAGGGGTGTGCCATCAGAAATCGAGGGAATCCTTAAGGTCGACATCGAGACCTGGTGAGACCAATCATGGGGATAGGGATGTGCTCCAAGCTGGTAAAAGAGTCCGGGTACGCGAGTGGTCCGCGAGTTGGGCCTGCAATGGGAGAAAACGCCGCACCCCCAGCTGCCAGCGCCGATGGCTGGCAGCAAGGAAAGGAACCTGCGCGGCGCGCGCGCCGCGCGCGCGCGCAGAGCCGCCGCGACGCGGGATCCCAGCGGCGGCCAAGCGAACAAACAGCCAGCGCTGGCAGCGCCGCGCGGCGCGGCGCGCGGCCCCCCCTCGCAGGCCCCCCCTCGCAGGCCGCTCTGGTTACGCTCCGACCAGTCCCACGCTTCGGGCCGCGGGGGCCGTCACAGCACGCATCGGGACGAGAACCAACCTCTGGGTAGGGCTGGCGCTGCGCAAGCCCAAAAAAAAATACGACGCTGGGGGTCTGGGACACCCTCCGAATCCTGGCGCTGCTCAAAAGGCAGGAGAAGGATCAAAGGAGAAAGAGAGAGAGAGAGAGAGAAAGGGAAGGAGGGAAGGAGGGAGGGAGAAATGAGGGAGGGGGAAGGGCGGGGGCAGGAGGGAGGAGGGGGGAGGGAGGAGGGGGGGGGACGGAGGCAGGGAACGAGGGAGGGAGGGGAAGGGGCGTGTGGAAAGAACCCAAACGTCCTGAGCCGTGCTTTTTTCGCGACGTCGACCGCCAACCTCTCGACCCTTTCCCACGAACCAATTTTTCATCCCGGAGCGTTTTTTCTGTTGGCGGCCCAGGGACCCCGAAGTGGAACCACGAGGGCCCAGGCTGCCGTGTGTTCTGCTGTACTCCTGCGTGTTCTGCCGTGCTCCCGTATGATATTTGGGTCCTGCCGTGCTCCTGTGTGTTTTGCCGTGCTCCTGTGTATTCTGCCGTGCTCTCGCGCGTTCTGCCGTGCTTCTGCGTGTTGGGCCGCCGTGATGTTGTCCATTTTCTGAAGATGTCTCGGGCGAAAAGCTCAGTTTCAATACGCATGATCTTAAATCAACCTTTTGAGCATCTCTTTTTTCGAACATGCCTCAGGCGACATCCCCAGTTCCACACGTTTGTGAAATGCGCGGATTTCATTTTCTGGTGGATGTCTCGGGCGAAGTGCTTACCGTTGCGAACAACTCATGTTTCTGAGGATGTCTCGAACGAAATGCTTAATTTGAGGAATCTCAAGGGCGCTCTTGGGGTCATATTGGGCCTCGTTTGGGGCTGCCTCGAAGCCATCAAAAACATGCCTGTGCGATGTCACACACATTTCTTGTTTGACAATGTCCCTAGCGAAATCGTCATTTTTAGAAGCCTGGTTTGGGCCGTCTGGAAGCCTTTTCAAGAGCGATCCCAAGACGAGGTTGGAACAGCAGTTTTCAAAACTATGATGTTGCATGTTTCTCATGTTTGAGGATGTCCCTAGCGAAATCGTCATTTTCGGCCGTCTCCCAGGCGCTCTTGGAGCCATAGTGAGGTCCTTGTTGGCCTCTCAGTTCTTCTTTTTGAAACACTTCAAGAACGATGTCAAGACATGTTGGGAACATCTCATTGTTTCGAGGATGTCCCCAGCGAGATGCAAATTTTCTGCCGTGCTCTTGTTTCTGGTCCGCCGTGCTGCCGAGCATTCTCTGGGGGCGTCCCTAGCGAAAACGCCGTTTTCAACATAAGCGGCAGTAGAAGAAAACCTCCGGATACATCTCATTTTCTGTTAGGATGTCTCAGGCAAAACGAAATTTCTACAGATGAATGAATTTCGCGGCGATCTGTTTTTCGAGGATGCCTCTAGCGAAGCGCTTGATGCTTTCACGCGTGTCGCGAAGATGTCATTTTTGTGGGGCTGTCTCGAGCGAAATCGCTTTTGGGGGGGACCTGACCGGACAAGAACGGGAAGCGTCCTTTGGTGTCCTGGGCTTATGCGATATCTGCCATGCTCCTGCATGTCCTGCCATGCTAATGCGTGTTCTGCTGTGTTCCTGATTGTTCTGCTGAATTCCTGTGTATTATGTGTGGTCTGCCGTGTTCCTGCGAGTTATGCCGTGTTCCTGTGTGTTCTGCGGTGCTACTGCGTGTTCTGCCGTGCTCCTATGTATTCAGTACGTTCTGCCGTGCTCCTCGTGCTCCTGTATTCTGCCGTGCTCCTGTGCACCTGCGGGGTTCTGCTGTGCTCCTGCGTATTCTGTGTTTTCTACCGTGCTCCTTATGCTCTTATGTGTTATGCCATGCTCCTGTGTGTTCTGCCGCGCTCCTGTGCGTTCTGTCGTGCTCCCGAATGTTCTTTGGGTTCCGCCGTGCTGCTGCGTGTTCTGCCGTGCTCCTCTGTGTTCTGCCGTGCTCCTGCGTGTTGTGCCGTGCTTATGTGTGTTCCGTGTGTTTTGCCGTGCTCCTGCGTGTTAAAGTTAAAAATAAAGACGGGGCCTTCAAGGCAAGTGGTGACCAGAAACGCAGACAGGGCCAGACGGGACCCGCGTTCCCGAAAGAAGCCGAGTCCTGAGACACGCCCTCCCCAGAGGGACCACCTAGGGCCGCCTCACGACACGGGCCAGGGAAGGCGGACGGCAAAGCCACTGGCTCTGGTCCCCGACCTGCCCACGCCAATCATGCAAGGACTGCGAGAACAGAAGCCACGCATGATCACAACCGAACTCGACTGCATTGCAAATACACCACGTGCACATTCAAATGCAGGAGACATAACCCACTGAACAACCACAGCCCCCCACCTCCAATGGGGAACAGACGTGCAAGGCGAACCATCACTCAGAAGGCATTCCGAACACGCAGGGAGATGGCGTCTCACCAGGAGCACTAACCACGCTGCTCCAACCACTCCTCGAATCCAAGCCTGGAGGCAGCGGCGCCCCGCCTGCAGTACCTCCAACGCTCGCTCCTTCATCCGAGGGCGCCTGCACCGTCGCGGCATCCGCTGTGAGCCAAGCGCGGGCAACGGCCGCCCTCGCACGCCACCAATCACGAGCCGCGACCTCGCCACGAGCCCTGGCGCCGCCGCCCCCACGGAAGAGGGCCTGCGGGAAGGCGTCGAGGTACGCGGCGGCGGCGGCAGCAACATGTTCAGCAGGTTCGGCGGCTGGCTGCTCCCCAACCGAGCAAGCGGTGGCCACGTCGGCCTCGCCGTCGAGGATCACGCCGTCGGAGTCGGAGCACTCGCCAGCAGCGCGCGGCGGCGCCGCCATAGCGCCCGCGGCCTGCACGAAGTCCACCACGCAGTCAACCTCCGACACCCCAGGGAAGAGAGGGGAAGGCACGTAGCAATCGCCGATGCGGGCGCCACGCCCAACGCGGGCGCGCCCAGCCAGATCGAACTCCATGTTAAGCTGCTGCCGCGCCTCGTCGCACTCATCGACGTCGACCTGGGCCTGCATCACCTGGGTACCGCCGCCGCCGGCAACGGGGTCAACCCCAGCTGGGGCGAAGGGCCTCGCAGCCGACCGCAACGCCGTGCGCAGGGCCACAACTCGGCCGAGCTGCGGCAGCGCCTCCGCCTCGCAAGCCTCCACGTGGCACTCGAACTTGCGCTCTCGCCTCGCCTCCAGCCTGGCGGACCGCTGGAGCCGCCGCAGGGTGAGGCCACACGCCGACGCAACCCTGACCCCAGGGGCGTCGGCGTGGAGAGCCACATTCCTCCGCACTGCATCCTCCTGCTCGGGGGCCACTCCCCGCAGCAAGGCCGTGAGCGCGGGCACGATCGCCTCCAGGCGGTCGGCCAGCTCGGCGTCGCCCACGTAGGACGCGAAGCACCGCCGAACGGCCTCCAGCTCCATGCGCAGGGCCGCTGCCTCCGCGAGTGCCGCCTTCACTCCGTTGTCCGCTGCCTCGAGCGCCCGCCTCCGAGCCGCAGAACGCTCCGCGCGCGTCCGCCGCGGCTCGCCGAGGCAAGCGCGTGCAGCATGCAGCACCAGGAACACTGTCCAGCGTCCCCGCCCGCGCCATCATGCCCAAGCGCCCGCCGCCGAGCGCCGAGCCAGGCTTGAGCCAAAATGGCTACGGATGTGCTCCTGCGTGTTCTGCCGTGCTCCTGTGTGTTCTGCCGTGCTCCTGTGTGTTCTGTGTGTTCTACCGTGCTCCTTGTGCTCCTGTGTATTCTGCCGTGCTCCTGTGTGTCCTGCCGTGGTCTCGCGCGTTCTGCCGTGCTTCTGCGTGCTGGGCCCTGAGCCTGAAGACGTCTCAGGCGAAAAGCTCAGTTTTAACACGCATGATCTTAAATCAGCCTTTTCAGCATCTCATGTTGTCAAGTATGCCTCAGGCGATATCGCCAGTTCCATACGTTTGTTAAACGATCGGTTTTCATTGTCTGGTGGATGTCTCAGGCGAAATACTTGTTTTTGTGAAAGACGGTGTTGCGAACAACTCATTGTTCTGAGGATGTCTCGAACGAAATGCGAAAGTTGTGGAATCTCGAGGGCGCTCTTGGGGTCATATTGGGCCTCGTTTGGGGCTCGTTTAGGGCCGTCTCGATCCTTTGAAAAATGATGGCAGTGCGATGTCACACACACACACATCACTTGTTTGAGGATGTCCCTAGCGAAATCGTCATGTTTAGTTGGCTGCCTCGGGCCGCCTGGAAGCCTTTTCAGAAACGATTTCAAATCGATGTTAGAACCGCAGTTTTCAAAACGATGCGGTTGTATGTTTTTATATGTGTTGAGGATGTCCCCAGCGAACTCGCTATTTTCGGCAGTCTCCCAGGCGCTCTTAGAGCCATCTTGAGGTCCTTGTTGGCCTCTCATTTCTTCCTCTTGAAACACTTCAAGAACGATGTCAAGACATGTTGAGAACATCTCATTGTTTTGAGGATGTCCCCAACGAAATGCAAATGTTCTGCCGTGCTCCCTTTTCTGGTCCGCCGTGCTGCCGAGCATTTTCTGAGGATTCCTAGCGAAAACGCCGTTTTCAACATAAGCGGCAGTAGAACACCTCCGGAGACATCTCATGTTCGGTTAGGGTGCCTCAGGCGAAACGCAAATGTTTCCTGGCGGCAAAATTTCGCGACGATCAACCTTTCGAGGACGTCTCCAGCGAAACGCTGATTGCTGTTAAACGCGATGTCGCGAATATCTCAGTTGTATGAAGATGTCTCCAGCGAAATCGTTACTCCGAGAAACTATTCCTGACATGAACGGGGGGCGCGTGAAAGAGAAGAGCTATACAAGAACGTGCAGAATCATCACGATGAACCGTAATGTGGGCGAGCTCCCCGAACGTCCACAGGGGATACCTGTGGACGCGCGCTCCCCGAACGTTGACAACCCTGTTCCTGAGTATCCTACGAAAGTCTACTCTTCGGCGTGGCGTTTTGAACAGGCGTCGCCCTTTGCACCGAACCGTTGCCATACGACGACGGCGACGACGATGACGACGACGATGATGGAGACAAATATACCACAGGTCGGCTGAAGACAAACGCCCACAACAAATACCAGGTGGAGTTCACTACCCGCGCGAGTTCAGACGCGGCGCTGACAGGAGAAGAAGGAGGAAGAGGAGGAGGAAACCTGATGGTATCGAGGACCCGTCCGAAGGAAATGTTTGGAGGATGTCTTGAGCGAAACGCTCTGTGTTCAACAAAACTGTTGAAAACCATGGGTTGTTCCATAAATTCGCCTTCGAGGACCCGTCCGAAGGCAACTTTTGGAGGATGTCTCGAGCGAAACGCTATGTGTTTAACAAAACCGTTCAAAACCCATGAGTTTCTGAATCCAAGGTCGGTCCGAAAAGATGTCTTACAAAAGCTCTGTCGGCATCCCATGTTTTCAAGGAAGTCTCATGCGAAACGCTCTTTTTTGAAGGTCCGCGAATTAGACCAACGATTTCAAGATCTCCATGTTTGGAGGATGTCTCGGACGAGACGCCCATTTTTAGCAAAAGACGTTTTAAGATACGACCCCCAGCTTCACGATTTGGCAAAGATGTCTTGAGCGAAACGCATGTTTTCGAAACCTTTCCAGACATGAACGGGAAGCGCGTGAAAGAAAAGTGTTGCGCAAGAACTTGCAGCATCATCGCGATCAAACGCAATATAGGCAAGCTCTTCGAACGCTCACAAGGGATACGTATGGACACGCGACCCCCGAACGTTCACAACCATATTCCTGAATATCCTCCTCACTATTCCGCGGGAGAACGACGATGGCGAAGACGACTACCAGGGGAGGAGGGGGAGGAGGAGGAGCCGGAGGCGGAGGAGGAGGAGCAGCAGCAGCATCATCAGTGGAGGGGGCGGAGGACGGAAGAGGAGGAGGAGGAGGAGGAGCAGGAGGAGGAGGAGCAGGAGGAGGAAGAGGAGGAGGAGGAGGAGGAAGAACAGGAGGAGGAGGAGGAGGAGGAGAAGGCAATGTTTAGTGGATGTCTCGAGCGAAACGCTCTGTTTTTGACAAAACTGTTAAACCCCCGTGGTTTTTTTTCAAAAAGTTCGCCTTCGAGGACCCGTCCGAATGTATTTTGTAAAGGATGTCTCGAGCGAAACGTTGATTTGTTAACGAAAATGTTGCCCATGGGTGTTCAATACTTTCGCTTCTTGGGCCATCTTGGAAGTCATCCGAGGACGCTCCGAAAAGATGTCTTACGAGAGCTCTTTCGGTACCTCATTTGTTCGAGGATGTCTCAGGCGAAACGCCAATTGTTGGAGGTCCGCGAATTAGACCAACGATTTCAACATCCCCATTTTCCGAGGATGTCTCGGGCGAACCGCCCATGTTTAACAGAAGACGTCCTAAGATACGACCCCCAACTTCACGATTTGGCGAGGCTGTCTCGAGCGAAACGCTCGTTTTCGAAATCTTTCCTGACATGAACGGGAAGCGCGTGAAAGGGAAGAGTTGCGCAAGAACTTGCAGCATCATCGCGATCAAATGTAATATCGGCAAGCTCTCCGAACGCTCACAAAGGATACGTATGGACACGCGCCCCGCGAACGTTTACAAGCATCTTCCTGATTATCCCCCTCACTCCTCCGCATGAGGAGGAGGACGACGGCGAAAACGACGACCGTTGGAGGAGGGGGAGGAGGGGGAGGAGGAGGAGGAGGAGGAGGAGGAGGAGGAGGGGAGGAGGAGGAGGGGGAGGAGGAGGAGGGGGGGAGCTGGAGGAGGAAGAGGGGGAGGAGGAGGAGGAGGAGGAGGAGGAGGAGGAGGAGGAGGAGGAGGAGGAGGAGGAGGAGGAGGAGGAGGAGGGGGAGGGGGAGGGGGAGGAGGAGGAGGAGGAGGAGGAGAGGAGGAGGAGGAGGAAAACGAGGAGGAGGAGGGGGAGGGGGGGGGAGGTGGAGGAGGAGGAGAAGGAGGAGGAGGAGGAGGACCAGCAGTAGCAGCAGCAGGAACAGAGGGTCAGGAGGGGACGGGGAGGAGGACGAGGAAGAGGAGGAACAGGAGCAGGAGGAGGAGGAGCAGGACGAGGCGGAGGAGGAGGAAGGAGGAGGAAGAACGGGAGGAGGAGGAGGAGGAGGAGGAGGAGGTGGAGAAGCAAGAACGGGAGGAGTAAGAGAAGAAGAAGGAGGAGGAGAAAAAGAAGGAGAAGGAGAAGGAGAAGGAGAAGGAGGAAGAGGAGGAGGAGGAGGAGGAGAAGGAGGAGCAGGAGGAGACCAGATGGTTTCGAGGGCCCGTTCGAAGGCATTGTGTAGGGGATGTCTCGAGTGAAACGCTGATGTTTAAACCAAAGTGTTAAACACCCATGGGTTTTGCAATACTTTCGCTTGTTGGGCCATCTTGGAGGTCATCCGAGGACGCTCCGAACAGATGTCTGAAACCATCTCTTTCAGCATCCCCAAGTGTTCGATAATGTCTCCGGCGAAACGCCCATTTTCGAGGCTCCGAAAATTAGGCGAGCGATTTCAAGATCTCCATTGTTGGAGGATGTCTCGGGCGAAACGCCCATGGTTAGGAAAAGACGTCTTAAGATACGACTCACAACTTCACGATTTTGCGAGAATGTCTCGAGCGAAACGCTCGTTTTCGAAATCCCAGACGCCGACACGAGGTCCCAAGACCCACCCAAGAGGCTCCCAAGACACGCCAAGAGGCCCCCGAGAGGCGCCAAGCAGGCCTCAAGGGGCCGGGGGGGGCAGCGCCAGACCCCCCGCCCCCGAGAGGAGGTCCAGGAAAAATGCTGCCAGCGAAGCTGTGTTATGTACAGGGTGGTTGTGGTGGCGGCCCCGCCTCTTCCTGGCCAGCCTTGCCCTCCCCCCTCCCCGAAGGTAACAGAGGAGGACGGGCGACGGAGACAGCGTCCCACCCAGGTAGGCCGAGGAGAGAGCTAAAAGAAACTCTTTTAGCTCTCTCCACTCAGGCGATACCATATTCAAGAGAATTCGATAATCAGAGCAGCGTTCGAAAGCGTGGAAGAAGGCACATGATATGGAGACCGCGCTGCTTGTGCGTTGGATATAGCAAAGCGAATATAGCAGGCGCCCTGTGATGAGTGCAACTAGGTGAACTCACAGGCATCATCAGTGGGTGTACTCACGGGCACAAAAGAATAAGATACAAGCCTGAGGAGTCAACGGCCTTTCAGTGAGCACCAGTACTTCATACACCCAACTATTCCGAGGATGTCTCAGGCGAAACAGCCATTTCCGAATATACGAAAATTGGGGGGGCGTCGAATGACGAGGACGACGACCGGGGAAGGACGAAGAAGATTCCTCCTCACTCCCACGCACGAAGAAGAAGACAAATTCCAATAAGGAAGATTGGATTGGACATCTCCTGGTCCTTCTGAGGTTTCCTGGGCAATCAAAAACTGCGGAAAGACGAAGAAGATTCCTCCTCAC